GGCATCCCTGGAGCCGGTGGCATCCCCAGAGCTGGCTGCACGCTGTGCAACGCCGATGTCATCACCGGACCCGGCGCCCCAGGAGCCGGCTGCAGCCGTGCCACCACCACCGATGACATCCCCCGGCTCTGCGTCACACCAACCCCCAGCTCTCCATCAACACCAGGTAGCTCCAGCACCGCCGTGGTGGCACCTCCGGTGACATCCGTTGATGTCCCCTCCACCCCATAGGGGACCTGTTGGATCAAGGTGTTGCGGTGGGAAGTGGTCCCACCATCCCCAACCCAACCCGGCATCACCGGGACCTACCGGCACCTGCAAGGGGACATTACAGCCACAAGTTGGGGACACTCCATCTTGGGGTGGTCCTGGTGACCCTCCTTGGTAGCACCCAAGGAGCTGCGGCGCAGGTTCGGGTGCCCCGGTGAGACCATGGGTGCTGGTGGCATCTGAGATGGGACCATTCTCCGAGAGTCCATCGGCTGTTGAGGAGCAACCAAGGGGGAGCAAATTTTGGGGGGGGCCACCAGCCATGGGGTGGGAGTTGGGGGTCTCACCAGCGGTGGGGGGTTGTTGCCGGAGGAGCTGCTGTCGGACATGTTGGTCCACCTCAGTGTCTTCGCTTTCGGGGAGCCCCCGACCTTCCGCTTGCTTCTTCTCCCTCGTCTTCCTCACCAACGTCAAACGATCCCGGATGGATTTGGCGACAGCTTTGGAGTCACTCTCGTGGAAGAAGCCGGATTTCACCTGGTTGGGGGAGACAGGGGGGTGTCCGTGGGGAGCAGGTGGTGGTGAACTTGGAGAACCGTTGGCTTTGGAAGGGTTTAAGATCAATTTGAGTGGCCAACCGTAGCGCTCAAGGCTAAATTTGGGGGATTGTTGGCTTTGGAAGGGGTTCAAGATGAGTTTGAGGGACCAACTGTAGGGCTCAAGGGTGAATTTGGAGGACTGTTGACTTTGGAACAGGTTCAAAATGAGGTTGAGTGGCCAACCGTAGGGTTCATGGAGGAATTTAGGGGATCACTGACTTCTGAACAGGTTCAAGATGAGTTTGAGGGACCAACTGTAGGGTTTATGGATGAATTTTGGGTAGTCGTTGGCTTTGGAAGGGGTTCAAGATGAGTTTGAGGGACCAACTGTTGGGTTCAGGGGTGAATTAGGAGGTTTATTGGCTTTGGAAGGGCTCATTGATGAGTTTGAGGAGCCAACCGTAGGGTTCATGGATGAATTTTGGGGTGTCGTTGACTTTGGAAAGGGTTCCAGAAGAATTTTTGGGGCCAACCATAGGATTCATGGCAAATTTAGAGGTTCGTTGACCTCGGGAAATTTGGAGGGGCCACGCCCAGAGGGGTTTTGGGGTGCCCGAACGCCACCACCCCTGGCCCCCGGCGCCGCTCACCATCTCGTAGGCCACCTCCTCGGGGACATCGGCCTCCAGATTGAAGCTAAACTCGATGGCTTCGTTGTCCTTGTGCTTCCCCTTTAGTTTTTTGGGGTCCTCCACCCATAACCGAAGCGCCAAGGAGGAATCGAGACCCGCGTCCTCCTCCGCCAACTCTACGCGTAGGCCGGTGTCTTCGGCGAAGAAAGCGTGGTTCAGAAGATCCCGGATGGAAAGCCTACGATGGGAGAGGCCGTGGTCAGCACCGAGATCGTCATCGGGGATGAGGGTCCCCAAATGTCACCTCGCTTCTCCCACCTCTCCGTTTTATTCTGCCGGATGCAACCTTCGATGATCTCCTTCACCTCCGGGTCCGTCACCTTGTCAAAACTTGCCGGTTTGATGCCCTACGAGAAGAAGAAGAACCGTAATGGTGGTAGAAACCATCATGGCGGTAGAGGGCATCGGGCCGTGTTGGCAAGAACTGGGAACCCACGCTGGTGACTTTGCGGTAGATCTGGGCGGCGTTTTGGCACTCAGAGTAGGGATACTCGGAGGTTCCCATCTCCAACATGCACATCCCGAAGGCGTAGACGTCCACCGATTCATCGTAACGTTCCTCGTACATCTCCGGCGCCATGAATTCCGGCGTACCTACAAGACGGACGGTGAACGCCAACAACCGGCGACTGACGGCCGCACTTCGGCGTGGCGGCGGTTGGGGTCTTACCGATGACGCTCTTGGCAAAAGAGGTCCTCATGAGGGTGGCCAAGCCCAAATCGCCAATTTTGACGGAACCAGTGGGACCGGTGATGAAGATATTGTCGCATTTGAGGTCCCGGTGGATGATGGGCGGCGTACGGGTGTGCAGAAAGTGAAGACCCTTCAAAATCTGTCGGCACCAACTCCGTAACACCTTGGGTTTCATCACCTTGAACCTCTTGAGATACCTGCGAGACGAGAAGAACCCGATCGCCATCATCTCCCCCGCACGACGTCACCTCGCCCACCACGAAATGCCCGTCGCTCACGTTTTGAGGGTGCCTGATGTCATCAGTTCAGTGACGAGGACGATGCACTTCTTGCCCTTGACTGTGGATTCCCAAGAGTCATAGAAACGAACGATATTGGGGTGCTGCAACCCCTTCAACATCTCCGCTTCTTCCTTGAACCGTTGTTGCTCCACCTTGGTCAACTTCCGGTCCTGGAGGGGGGCAAGAACCGACATCAACCCCCCCCCAAAATTCATAAATCATCATCATCATCCGTCTCCTTCACCGGCAAACCTCATCCCGCCGCGTCTAAAAGCTCTCTCAATTCCCCGCGGATCGTTTGGAGCGCGTTAAGAGATGCTGTAATTAATTAGCCGTGGCCTTGTGCCCAACTGTAGAAGCTGCCAAGGTTCACCGGCCGCTTGGGATGAGGAAATTTCGAGGGGTCAGAGGGGGCAAATGTAGGGTTCGTGGTGAATTTTGGGGGGTCACTGGCTTTGGAAGGAGGTCAAGATGAGTTGGGGGGGTCAATGGTAGGGTTCATGATGAATTTTGGGGTGTCATTGACTTTGGGAAGGGTTCAAGATGGATTTTAGGGGCCAACTGTAAGGTTTGTGATGAATTTTGGGGGGTCATTTGCTTTGGGGGGATCTTCCATGAATTTGAGGGGCCAACTGTAGGGTTCATGATGATTTTTTGGGGTGTCGTTGACTTTGGGGAGACCTTCAGGATGGATTTTAGGGGCCAACCACAGAGTCCATGATGATTTTTGGGGTGCCGTTGACTTGGGGAAGGGTTTGTGATGGATTTGAGGGGTCAATGATAGGGTTCATGATGGGGTTTGGGGTGTCATTGACTTTGGGAAGAATTTCAAGATGGATTTGAGGGGTCAACCGTAGGATCCATGATGATTTTTGGGGTGTTGTTGAGTTGAGGAAGAGCTTCAAGATGGATTTGAGGGGCTGACTGTAGGATCCATGAGGAATTTTGGGGTGTCGTTGACTTTGCAAAGAGTTCGAGATGGATTTCGGGGGGGTCAATCATAGGATTCATGATGGATTTTGAGGTGTCATTGACTTGGGGAAGACCTTCAAGATGGATTTGATGGGTCAATCACAACATCCATGCTGAATTTTGGGGCGTCGTTGACTTTGACCCCCCCCCAACCTTCGGCTTCACG